ATCTCAACAAGGCACATACTGTTTCATTCCATGCTTTATGAAACAATTTTAGACTAATTATTTCTGACAACTTGCAAATGTTTGTAAACTTCTTCAATGAGGAAGCGGCACAATTATGTCTTCCGCTGACAAACAGAAGGAGGTTTTCCTTTGTGTGGTGTGGCTGATGTCTTTCCCCCCTGGAGAATTCGGAAGCCTTGATCTTCTAAGGCTCTGATTTCCGCTGAGATTCAGAATTAATCAAATTGTCCTCCAGCCTTTTGAGTTAAATTTAACTAAGCAGGTGAAAAGCGGCTGAGGTGGGAATCTTTCCCCGTGAGTTACATCTTTTGTCCTGTGGTTGCGATGGTCATGGGCAGGCGCTGGCCTTCCTCCTGGCTCCTACACCGCCACGCTCGTGGCCCTTTGTGTCATTTCAATGTGTCTCTGCTGATAACTGTATGCTGCTGATAAACAGGCCTCTCAATTAAATAGAACCTGGATTCTCAGTCAACTTCACCATTAAAGAAAATTACCCCAAATCAAGGCTATTTGCAATGCGGTGGGAATGATCCTGGGGCCTGTGGAAGCCCCCAAGTTTCTGGACATTATAAATTCAAAACCACAGAATTCCAGGGAGGTAAAGTGAGGCCCCCGGGCTCCGTACAGCAGAGAGACAGACTCAGGGCTGTCTCTTTGAGGCCCGGCTCATATTTTAATACCCTTTTGATTATTTACCATTGTTAATTCACGTATATGCACTGTAGGCAGGTGGAAATATTGCAAAGTCAACCAGCCCTTAATCCCTAGCTAATCCCTGGTCAACTAACTATATCCTTCCTTTATTAAAAAAAGAAAAAGAAAAGGCATTCTGAATCTTTTGTTGAAAACAAATTGCCAAGGTGAAGAATAGACCTCTTCCTTCCCTGGAGACCAGTGCATTAGCTTCCACAATCCAGTGAAATAAAAGAGATCGCTGTCTGCTTCTCTCACGTGTTTTTCCAGGGCACCAACAAAATTCTCATTATTTTCAACGTAAATCTGTTTTGTGATATATTTGAATGAAAAATTCCTTTTTGCACCTTGGATACAAGAAGAAATTCTTGATACTCACCATTAGGGGGCGGCCCCCAAGAAGTGGAGACTGCCAAGCCAGATTCTTTGCCAAGAGAAAACCCAGACAAACTTGGATTTTTAGTTTTTAAGATGTAACCAGAAGAAGCAGATGCAACAGGAATTTCTAACATCACCTAATCAGGTCACTTCTACTGGGGCACAAGCAGCAATGTCTAAAGATGGGATGCTTTAGAGGGAAAAGCATCCACTCAGACTGGCTTGAAAAGGCACTTATTCTGAGGAATCTCATGCAATTCAGGAACAAGGAAGTGGCCAGTTTCCAACAGGATAGGCAGGAGACAGAAGGCCCCTGGGACTTTGGGCAGCCCTGTTTGAGTGCCTGGGACCCTTCCCACCAGGCCAGGGCCCCACTGAGAGCAGCACAATGCAGCATCCCAAGCCCCTCACCACGTTGTTCCCCAACCGAGCAATTCTGGGGCTAAAGACAGAGCCTGCTAGTCCTCTCCTGATGCAGTGATATGCCAGCATCACAGATTTCACACATCTGCACTATCCTTGGCTTCATACTGCATGGCAGGAAAAGTGCTTCCCCTACCCCTCTTGGTTCTTTCACTGGTCTAACAAATAAATTAGCATAGGGCATATTAACGGGGGAAAAAAGTGTAGTTACATGTGTATGGAGTTTCCATAAGAATTGGAGACCCACAGACAGCTGAAACTTATCAGCAGTCATAAGCTAAGGAGAAGAGGGTAAGGGGTAAACACCAGAGGTAAGACAGTTCACAGGAAATGGGAAAGCAAATGTCTGGTACATAAATATACCAGACATAGACAGTAGGACACAGAGAGGATTCTGATCTCCAGCTCCCCCCAGCTCATCACACCTCACCATATTCTCTGGTCACACCTCACTTCTTCCATCGGGCCCTGTGTCTACTTTCTTTTAGGCAGTTAAGGGAGAGGTATGGACCTACCAGAAGCAGGAGATAGTAAGAAGAGGTGGCAAGAATACACAGAACTGTACAAAAAAGATCTTCACGACCCAGATAATCATGATGGGGTGATCACTCACCTAGAGCCAGACACCCTGAAATGTGAAGTCAAGTGGGCCTTAGGAAGAATCATTACAAACAAAGCTAGTGGAGGTGATGGAATTCCAGCTGAGCTATCTCAAATCCTAAAAGATGATGCTGTGAAAGTGCTGCACTCAATATGTCAGCAAATTTGGAAAACTCAGCAGTGGCTACAGGACAGGAAAAGGTCAGTTTTCATTCCAATCCCAAAGAAAGGCAATGCCAAAGAATGCTCAAACTACCACATAATTGCACTCATCTCACATGCTAGTAAAGTAATGCTCAAAATTCTCCAAGCCAGACTTCAAAAATACATGAACCGTGAACTTCCAGATGTTCAAGATGGTTTTAGAAAAGGCAAAGGAACCAGAGATCAAATTGCCAACATCTGCTGGATCATCAAAAAAACAAGCGAGTTCCAGAAAAACATTGATTTCTCCTTTATTGACTATGCTAAAGCCTTTGACTGTGTGGATCACAATAAACTGTGGAAAATTCTTCAAGAGATGGGTACCAGACCACCTGACCTGCCTCTTGAGAAATCTGTATGCAGGTCAGGAAGCAACAGTTAGAACTAAACATGGGACAACAGACTGGTTCCAAATCGGGAAAGGAGTACGTCAAGGCTGTATATTCTCACCCTGCTTATTTAACTTATATGCAGAGTACATCATGAGAAACGCTGGGCTGGATGAAGCACAAGCTGGAATCAAGGTTACTGGGAGAAATATCAATAACCTCAGATATGCAGATGATGAAGAAGGCAATGGCAACCCACTCCAATATTCTTGCCTGGAAAATGCCATGGACGGGGGAGCCTGGTGGGCTACAGTCCATGGGGTCGCTAGAAGTCAGACATGACTGAGCGACTTCACTTTAACTTTTCACTTTCATGCATTGGAGAAGGAAATGGCAGCCCACTGCTGTATTCTTGCCTGGAGAATCCCAGGGACGGGCAAACCCCGTGGGCTGCCGTCTTATGGGGTCGCACAGAGTCAGACATGACTGAAGTGACTTAGCAGCAGCAGCAGCATGCAGATGACACCACCCTTATGGCAGAAAGTGAAGAAGAACCAAAGAACCTCTTGATGAAAGTGAAAGAGGAGAGTAAAAAAGTTGACTTAAAGCTCAACATTCAGAAAACTAAGATCATGCCATCTGGTCCCATCACTTCATGGCAAATAGATGGGGAAACAGTGGAAACAGGGGCAGACTTTATTTTGGCGGGCTCCAAAATCACTGCAGATGGTGACTGCAGCCATGAAATTAAGAGACACTCCTTGGCAGGAAAGTTATGACCAACCTAGACAGAATATTAAAAAGCAGAGACATTACTTTGCCAACAAAGGTCTGTCTAGTCAAGGCTATGATTTTTCCAGTGGTCATGTATGGATGTGAGAGTTGGACTGTGAAGAAAGCTGAGCACCAAAAAATTGATGCTTTTGAACTGTGGTGTTGAAGAAGACTCTTGAGAGTCCCTTGGACTGCAAGGAGATCCAACCAGTCCATCCTAAAGGAGATCAGTCCTGAGTGCTCATTGAAAGGACTTGATGCTGAAGGTGAAATTCCAATACTTTGGCCACCTGATACAAAGAGCTGACTCATTTGTAAAGACTCTGATGCTGGGAAAGATTGAAGGCAGGAGAAGAGGGGATGACAGAGGATGAGATGGTTGGATGGCATCACTGACTCAATGGACATGAGTTTGGGTAAACTCCAGGAGTTGGTGATGGACAGGGAGGCCTGGCATGCTGCAGTCCATGGGGTCGCAAAGAGTCAGACACGACTAAGCGATTAAACTAACTGAACTGAAAGGAGAGGTAAAAAGAAAAACTTCCTGAGTTTCCCATTTCTTAAAAAGGATCAGCCTAAAAAAATCCTCATGCCAAAGAGATATATTTGGGGGTGGCAAGTTTTGCTCCCCTATAGTGTCTTCTCGGTAAATGTAAAATTAATTTAAAAAATTTTAATTTTAAGAACAAAACTATGACCACCACCCCCCCTCCGCAATTTGCCTGCAAGCTAATGTTCTCTTTGACTTGGCGGTGCCTAACAATGCCACTTCCTGGATAAGCTCACACTTGTGGGCTGATTTTGAGTGCAAGTTACTTACAATTGCTCTGCATTTAGCATCAAAAGATGAGAAGCAACTTGTGTCCATCAGTAGGGAATGGTGGTTGAACAATGGCACATCCGTACAATGGAATTCTATGCAGCAGAACAGAGTGAGGAAATACACAAATAGAGAAAGTTTGCCAAGGTGTATTATTATGGAAAGAGGGTTACAGGAGGCAGGCCTGTACACAAAGTACCTACCAGTTTGTGTAGCAGCCTGCACTGGGGGAGTGTGTCTGTTCAAAGGAGGCTACATTTGCATAAACTCTTTGGAAAGCTGCTCTGAAGGAAGGAAGTAAGAGCCTCAATGTAATGTGGATGGGAGCTGGGCGATGGGAGAAAAGGCTAGAGGCAGAAACCACCAATGTGCACCTTTTCATACACATTTCATTTTGCGCCTGGTGAGTGTACTGCCGTGCCAATAATAAATGAATGATATTTTAAATGGACCTAAGTTGCAAATTCCAAAGAACATTCATTCCTATAAATGGAAAAGCAGTACCACTCTTCTTAACTAGACATAATCTTAAAAATATATGAAACACGACCAGTGTTACTGAACATTTGGCCTAGTCACCTGCAGAAGCTGCCACTCCGGGACCCTCTCTCTGTTTCAGAAAGGAGGAAGGGATGTGAGTGGTGCTCACCCAGCAGGAGCTGAGTCTTATGTGACGTCACCAGGTCAACAGAGAGCTGAAGGAAGTGATTTCCCCTGTGAGTCACGTCATTTTATGCCACGTCTGCAAACCACTGACCATGATCCTACGTGCCCAGCTTCAAAAGACTAAGGAGCTGCTGGCTCCTCCTCTCCCAGAGAACAAGCTGCCTTCCTGCACTGACTTCGTCCTTGTGGCCGCTGATCTTTCTGGAACGCTACAGCGGTCAGACACGGCTCTCGAGCCAGCTAACAAGCGGCACAATCAATGCACAACAGCTATTACGGGTGCCACAGTCTCCGCTTCACCCTCCCTGCTCTCCTGTCCACGGTGAATGTAAGAGGTGCCAACAGCTGGTTTGGGGTGGTGTCTCAGAGCGCTGACAGGTAAAGAATTTATTTGATTGTTGGAGGAAGTTAACAGCGCATGTGATCAGATGCATCCGTCTGCATTCCACACACACAGCTGCCTCCCACTGTTGGGGCCACGAGTCCGGGGCTGAAGCAAACAGGAGCCCAGACTTGCTGAGGGACAGGGCACCAGGACTCCCTGGGGCCAGTGTTAGATTAGAATCTAGGAGGCCTCAGGGTAACACAGAGGCCCTGCACCGCAGCTGCATGGGGACCTGACTATGAGTGGCGTCCTGCCTGGTGACAGGCAGCATGGGGCATTTAACTAGCAGTTCTGTCTGCTCCCTTTGTTATTCACTGCAAGTTACTCCTGACAAGCAGCTGGGGGAGCATGTCCAACAAGTGGAATACTCACAGACCTTCACAGCAGGGCCACCAGCCTGGGGGACACTTGAGTGAGGAAACAGTTGAAGAATGAGTTCTTCCCAGAACGGCGACCTGCTGATCTATGGAGCAGCATGGGGAAGCTTCCGGCCTCACTAGGACACTTGTCTTCTTCCCTACTGCCCTGGCCTTCCCCAGGCTCTTTGTCTCTGTCCAGCCCACAGATTGGCCTCTGTGAGGAATGAGAGCCATTGCAGGACCTGTGAGTGTAAGTGAACATAGCACACTGCCTGGAGGGAGGTGGAGCTTTTGTCTCCCCAAAAGCCCCCACAGCCCTGGGTGTCACTCATGTGGGACCGACGACAGGCATTTTTCTACCCTTAAACAGCCGCTGCAGTCTTGGGTTTTACCAAAACACAACCTGGAGTGCATGGAAGCCCTAACTCCAAGCCCACTTCCACCAGCACCCACCTGCGACCAAAGAAGACGGGGTGAGACAGCATTTACCACTGGAGGTAGCAGGTGCTTCCTTGTAATTGAGATTATATTGTAACTACCAGTGTTACATTAGCAGTCACACTGACTCAGCATCTCACTGTGAGCTCTGGGGGCGGGGCGGGGGGGGGGGGGGCGGCGGTCTGTGTGCCTCACCAGCAGAGCAACCTGGGGAAGTGCTCGCTGGGACTCACGCAGCCCATCGAGGCCCAGCTGGGGTTTCAGCGCACATCCCAGCTCCAGTGCCTATTTCCATGACTACTTTGCCATGATGACAGCAACCCAGAGCACAGCAGTCTCTCTAGGTAATAAAGAGGTGTATTAGGACTCTTTGAACTGCTCGTAACAAAAATCCAACTCAAAGGAAATAAAATGGGAAAAGAAGGGACTTATTGGCTCCATAAATGGAAAGTCTTGTCCTAGATGGATGCAGATGCTCAAATGGAGACACGGGGACCAGGCCTTCCTCCTTCTCTCAGCTCCACTTCTCAGGTAGTGGCTTCAGACTCAAGACTCTCTGTTCACGGGGAGCTCCCTGCACCCCCTTACCTGCTATCAGCTCAGCAACCCTAACCCAGCAGGAATACAGCTTTCAGACTCATCCTGCTTGGACAGTCTTGGGTAATAAGCCTTGAACCAATCTCTGAGGCTAAAAGTTTAGAACCTGCACGTTTGCCAGAGCAGGGTCCTGTGAGCCCCATGTGGACAAAGAGCAGGAATAAGATGTGCCGTCAAGAGAAAACAGAGACTGGCCTTCCAGGAGCAGGGAATGGAGAGCAGATGCATATCTGCTACCAAAGGTCTTATCTGCACAGAGGGCAGGGGTATTCCTCTCGGGTGAGGCCACTTTCAGCAGCACCAGACAGCCAGCAGGCTGTAGTCACCTCCACCATCCGTCCACCTGCCTGCCCTGGGCGGACCCACCTCTTTCCTCTTCTCTCCCCTCAGCAGGCAGGCTGCAGCCTAAAGGAACGGCCAGTTCTCAGCAAATTCATAAAACTGGTGGTGTTCCCCATATGACTCTGGACCACATTCTTGCACCCATTTGTATGTAGCCTTCCCTCTTCCGAGCTTGCTCTCAGACAAAGCCCCGCCATTAGTCGTTCACACCTGAGTTCAGTGGTTCCCAACTCAAAGAATCTAGGATCCCCCTACATGAATTATACGAGCGCCACATACAACCTGCACCATATTGTCTCATGTTTTTCTTCAAATTACCTCATTTTTCAAACCTAAATAAATACACTTAGAAGTGAAACTTGCCACAAATAGAAAGCAATAATAAAAAAGTAAATACGATGAGAATCAATGAAGGTTATTAAATCTTGCCTGGATACTATGGCTGGTTCAACTCTGAGCCCCAGGTTTTGTGCTCCCAGTTGAGGGAGGGGAGGAGACAGGACTGGAGGTCTGGGAAAGATGACTTGGCATCCATCCGAGTCACTGTCTGAGGCTCCCAGAATATGCCCTGAGCAGAGCCAAAGGGGAGCGAGGCCAGCATGCACCATGAATGGGCTGAGTCCTGAATGTGCCTCTGGTGCTGAGTCTTATCCTGCCCTGGTGCTCACTGCTTCTCACTCACTGCCTGGAAGAGCCATCCCAGGACCTAACTCCCCTCCTGGAATGAAGGGAACACTCCACAGGGAGCCATTTCTGATGCAGAAGAAAAGCAGCATGCTGCAGTCTTGGCAGCAGACCAGTCAATACCTGCCCTGGAGTTTATGTCATGCACAAATCTCAGAGCCCTTAATCTGCACCCAAATGAGCCCCTACCCCAGATCCAGAAAGGGTCAGCCAGCAGCCTCAGTGAATTGAGACGGGCATAGCTACAGAAACACGTGGCAGAGTGGATAATTGAAGCCCCAACATTCTGGGTAGAGGATGGAAAAGAAGATCTCCAGAGAGTCAGAAAGCACCATGGGGATTACAGAGAGAAGGAGGTATAAGATGCTGGCACATAGGAGCACCTGACCCTAATCCTCATGCCAGCTAACCTGAGAGTTGCTCTGTTAGTCCCTCGCCCCTGGGTGTCACACACACAGCAAATCTGAGAAGCAGGTAAAGACTCTGAAAATGGAGCTGGCGATTGGAACTACAGCCCACAGGTGGGTTGGAACTTGTGGCTTAGACGTAATCAGTTCAAATGCCTGCTAAAGCAAAAATGTCAACATTCTCCAGAAGTCTCCACAACCATAATAATCAAAATGAGCTCCAGAAGGAGAGGAAAAAGATAATAGAGCTAAAAGATTATTTGATAAATAGTGGCTGAGAGATTCCCCAATTTGTTAAAACACATAAACCCTCAGATTTAAGAAGCTTAGCAAACTCCAGAAGAGATAAACCCAAAGATATTCACACCCAGACCCATTGTAATTAAGCCACTGGGAACTAAAATCAAAGAAGAAAAATCTTGAAAACACCATGAAAAAGCAGTCTGTAACCCGTAGGGGAACAGTGGTCTGAATGGCTTCAGTTTTCTCATAAGAAACCACAGGGGCCAGAAGGAGGTGGCATACCATTTTCAAAGAGTTGAAAGAAGTGTCAACCCAGAATTCTATATCCAGAAAAAATAAATTTTAGGAACAAAGGCAAAATAAAGATGCTTCCTGAAGAAGGAAAACTAAGAGAGTATACTGTGAGCAGATTTTTAACTATAAGAATTGCTGAAACACACTCAATCAGAAGGAAATTCGAAGCATCAGGAATGGCGGAAAAGCAACAGAAATGGTAACTGAGTAAATATAATAGATTCTTCTTTCCTCAAGTTTTTTTTTTATTCTTTCCTTAAGTTTTTAAAAAATATGTTTAAGGTTTGGAAATAACTATTCTATCTCTGTGTGGGTTTTCAGTACAGGTACATGTAAAATATAAGACGACTGTAACACGAAGCAGAGAGGAGAAAAGGGACTGACACAAATTTCAGAATTCTGAACGTGTCGCTTGAGCCATCGACAACGGCTCACAAAAATTATGACTTAAATGCATCTACTACAGACACCCTGTGCTTGCACCAAACCCCAAGCTGGACAATAGGGAGACTTTGATGAACACAATAGACTGGTCTGTGAAGGCTCTGAGATCTGTCTGTGGACCAAGTGCCTTCTGATTCGGGCCCCCTGGGGTTTGGAGAGAAATGGGTTTTGCTTCTCAGCTGTCCCTGGCATCTTCTAAAAACACTCTAGCAGAGCCCTGAAGGTCACAGATAAAGCAGGAGGCCTGGGGCTCTTAATATACTCTCAATCTTTTTGTTTGTTTAGCCAACTGTGTTTCATTTTTGCAGGCTATTGGTCAGAGTGCCTCCTCATCTCATATACAGAATCACAGGGTAACTGAGGAGCAGAATGTATATAGACACCACCCCGCCAACACACACATGGCATATTGGCGCCCATTTATTGCTCTCATAACCCAATATTGCCGGCATGCCCAGGCTCGTCCTCTGGAGCCCTGGGATGCAGTGGGAGCCCCCACCTCCATCCCTCGGGAATTTTCTCCTCGCTGAGCTAGCAGCAGCTATAAATGATCTGATTTGCGATCTGTCCCTCTGCTCTTGGGACTGTAAATGCAGCTATAGTATATGAGGTGAAGGGCTGGGCTGGGCTGCTCCTGGCCTCCCAAGCAAGCAGCTACCCAAGGCTGTAATTTCACTTTATCTCCCGCCCATTAAAAGGCAATTGAAAGTGAACCGGGGAGAATGAGGGCTGCCTGCAACCTCAGGAACCTTGAACAACGCTTGTTGAAGGGCGGCTGGTGGTAGAGGCACCTGGTGCTGAAGGAATGAGAGGAAGGGACTCTGCAGGACCACAAACAATAACAGTAATAGTAACAGCAGCAGCAGCAACAATAATGCCGCTATTTATGGACACCTGTGGGTCACTTGGAAGGACTGATGCTGAAGCTGAAACTCCAGTACTTTGGCCACCTCATGCGAAGAGTTGACTCATTGGAAAAGACCCCGATGCTGGGAGGGATTGGGGGCAGGAGGAGAAGGAGGCAACAGAGGATGAGATGGCTGGATGGCATCACCGACTCAATGGGCATGAGTTTGAGTAAACTCCGGGAGTTGGTGATGGACAGAGAGGCCTGGCGTGCTATGATTCA